GCATATATGTTTAGTATTGATATTACTTCACTGTCTATGATTCCTTTTAGCAAGATGTAGTTTCCTTGCTTATTCTTTTAATTATGTCTATTTTTGCTTTTGCTTTAGCTGAGACCATGATTGCTACCCCCCCCCCGCCTTTTTCTACCTCAGCTGATGCATAATTGGTTCTGCTCTATATCCTTATTTTAACTCCATGTGTGCCTCTATTAACAAACTATTAATTGTCTTTTCACAATTTTCTCCTTTTACTTTAATTTATTTACCAAATTTCCTCTCCATTATTCTTATTTTATTTTGAAAATAAGTTTTTTAGCTCTTCCAGGAATTAATGTTGGGCCCATGTCCAATTCACTTTTGTTTTCCTTTGAGATTTTTGCTTATGGCTGTTTTAACATCATTGTCTTCTGAGCTGTGTCTTGGTCTTCTCTGTCCCCCAAAATACTTTTTCTTTTATGATCAAATTTCTTTTCTGTTGTTTGGTCATTTTTATCTCATTTCTTGATGTGGATCTTTATATTAATTCTGGGCTCAATTCTCGGTGTGGAGTGGAGAGACAGGTACTATCTCCAGCTTCGGGCTTTTCACACTGCTGTTTTCAGAGCAAGTTCTGGGGGGTTTGGAAGCTTGCTGTGCTTCCAAAGTGGTGTGATTTAGGGGGAGGAGTGGTCACTGCTCTCCTAGTTTGTTCTTGGTCTTTACCTAGGAAGGACTCCTGATCCCTTGGGATTGCAAGCCATATTATTCCTCAGGCCCTCTTTTTCCTTGGGACTGGAAAATAGTGTTCTTCAGGCTCGCTGACCCCTTGGGGGCAGAAGTCGTTGGTGGATAGTACTCCTTCCTGCCCTTGAGCTATGGCTTAGTAGTGTATATAGGCTATGACCTGGAAGTGGGTATAAGCAATGGAGTTGCCAAACAATGTCTGGTCCTGTGTCCAGTGCTAACATAGGGGTCCCCTGTAATTTTTTTCTGACCAGTTGTCAGGTCCCTTTACCAGAGATCTGGCTTCAGAACTCCCAAAGCTGCTGCTGCTTCTTTCATCGGCACCTGGTCCCACCACTGGTGTTTCATCCTTATGGTCTCGGGATCAGCCTCTTCCCCCTTGTCATAGATCTCTCTTTTCAACCACTTACTTTGTTTTAGTCTGGAAGAATGTTTCATTCTGACCTTTTATTGGCTCTGCCACTACAGAATTTGATTTGAGGTGGTATTTTAAAGTTGTTTGGAGGGGAATGTTGGGAGAGTTCAACTGAATGCTTTCTTTACGCTGCCGTCATGGCTCCATCCTTCCCCACACCATATTTTCTAAATTACCTAATAAAGAGGGTGGAATCCAATGCAGGGAAATCAGAATGAGGAACGAAACAAGGAAGTAGGAAAGTTATCCCTAATGAATGATGTCATTGTAGCAAGATGCTGTAATGGAGTCTTTACCAGTCATGCATTAAAATATTGTATGCCTGTTAATAATTATACTATCATGTTCAAAGTATGTTTATCTACTTATTTATTTTCTATAACTCTTCCTTTAAGCAAAAAGGATGAAGGGCAAGATCCTAATTATGTAGAAATAAGAAAATGCCAATATCATGACAGTCATACATTTATTGTCAAGTCTGAGCATTTAAGACAGGATAAGCAGGTAAGTTTTGAGTTCCTTCACAGACAAGCTTGAAAACTGATTTATGAAGTCAGATGATAGATTCACATCAAAGGAAAAAACCAGAATATGAGGCTGACTTTTATGTGTCCTTATAATATGACAGTGAAAAATATGACAAATCAGGTGATATAAAGTACTTCTCTAGGTGCAAATCAGTTCTAATTTTTGGCAAAGTCCAGTAAAAATTGTTTAGGAAATCATGGTACTTTCAGACAATCTGTTGCTATGGCTACTTTTAGGACCCTGGCCAGAAAAGAAAGCTGTAGATACTAGGCCTTCTGCTACCAGGATCTCTGATGGGTATCCGGTGTTTTCTGACAAAAAGATTTGATTAAGAGTTGAGTACATTCTAAGCAAAAGGGAAGGGATGAGATTGAGGATGAAATCACCTATTGTCATCATACCATTCATATTCACTCTAAGACTACTTCTTCTTTGATCATTAGGATTTAGACAGGGGCTTAAGGTTTGCAAAGTATTTTACATATTATTTGTTTCTCAAATTAACATTGTCAGACATGTGCCATTAATATCCTCATTTTACAGATGAAGGTAAGAGAGGTTAAGTAACTTGCCTGGGGTTTTGGTCTTCCTCATTTCCCAATGTAGTTTTTTTTTTTTAAACCCTCTAACCAACTCCCTTTTTTATACTTAGCCTTCCTCTCCAGCTTCCTCTGCATTTTAGGATTGTTGACGGTATTGTTACTTGAATATGACACACTTTGGGGTCGTCCTTCATTAAATGATTTTGCTTAGCTCTTCATTTTGAACACATCTTTTAGCAATCTAAATTGGTCAAAGAGGTCCCTGTGTAACTACATTAGTTTCTTCAGGTAACTCCTCTTTCTTCCTCATCACGATGGGTGCTCTGTGTCTTCACATTTTCATTCTTAAAAACTTTTTTGCTCATTACTTACTGACTTACCACTTTAACACTTGCCACTTTTCCATCTCAAAGTCTTTGAAATATAATTTCTTTCTTTCTTTCTTTCTTTCTTTCTTTCTTTCTTTCTTTCTTTCTTTCTTTCTTTCTTTCTTTTTCTTTCTTTCTTTCTTTCTTTTTTTTTTAAGGCAATTGGGGTTAAGTGACTTGCCCAGGGTCACACAGCTAATAAGTGTCAAGTGTTTGGTCTGAGACTGGCTTTGAATTCAGGTCCTCCTGATTTCAGGGCCAGCACTCTATTTACTGTGCCACCTAGCTGCCCCTGAAATATATTTTCTAAACAATAATGTTAAATAGCTAGCTTTTTTCTCTTCTATCATAGATGTCGAGCTTAAGGTTCGCATCATTCTTATTTTGGCAATGAATTTCTTTTTGTTGGTGAATATCAGATCTAAAATAAAATTGTCTATTGGTTTATTACCTTTAGAACAGGGTTTTTTTTTAAACTTTTTTTTTTTTAATGTCATGGACCCCTCTGGCAGTGTGGTAAAGTCTATGGATTCCTCAGAATAACTTTTTTAAATGCAAAAAAGAAAATACATAAGCTCACAAAGAAAAGTATAAAGGCACTGAAATATATGCATAAATATAGACATAAATATATAGATATACAAAAAGTTCATGGACTCTAGGTTAAGAACCTCTACTTCAGAAGGATGAACTCAATAAAAAACAAGTGATTCAGTAAATTATTAGTTGCTTTATTTTTGGCAGAGAGCTCCAGTAGGTATTCAGATAAATGAAGGCTAGCTTCACTACCCTGTAACATCCCAAGCTTGTGGTGTTTCCAGAACTCCTCATGCCCTCTCCAATTCTTCTGCTCAGGGGGGTCTTTATTATACTCTGATAACAATAACATTTCTTTTTTGACTCTTTTGCTCTGTAGCCAACTGTTTCCCACCATTTTCTCTCTTTCTGGTTGCTGGATTTTCTTATATGCCCAATTTTAACTATCCTATTCCTTTTAAATAATGTATACTCCTTCAGAGCCATATTCAGAAGCAGGGTCCCATTCTATCAAATATCAGTAATGCTTGTGAGGTCCGATTTGGTTTCTTTTATCATGATTTATCTAGTTGACTTTCTTTATTAGCTTTACTTCATACATTTGTATTTAAGGACAATGGTTTCTTGGATTTTACTTCTGTGAAAATCAGAAGAATGGATCTGTTTCTTGGAGTGTAAAATTTTTAAAATATCCCTCAACTTTACATGTATGTGCACAAGGACCCCATTAACATTTGATTTCCTTATTTTGTATTTTTCTCCTTTCCCCTTCTTTTCTTCCTTCCTTCTACTCCTCCTTCTCCTTTTTCTTCCTCTATTTCTCCCCTTCTCCTCCATATCATTTTTATTGACAGGTATGATGGTAACACCCCATCCAGCCATCCACCCAGACACCAATGCCTCCCTATTGCAGACATGTTGCCATCTGACATGCCACTATAAGTGCAGAACCTCTTCCTGACCTAGTGTTAAGTGAAGTTTTAAAATGCTTGTTGAGGATTCCCTGAAGCTGTATCATGAATTGATTTTTTAAGTATCAGTCTCCTGGGAGAGCACAACATTAATTTGTTTCTGAATCTTGTTTTCAGTCTTTGTCAATGTGTAGTTTTGAGTCTTTATGCTTAGCATTTCTTTTGTGTAGAGGAAACAAATACCTGTCCCATACACGATTTATATTGGACATTGAGTACCTTTTTTCCCCTCTTTTAGGGAGACCCTTGAAATGAACTTAACCTAAGTTGTAACTAACTTTCATTTAGACTCTGGCACAGAGGAGTATAGAATGAAAGAGATTGAGTAAGAGAGCTTAGCCCCTGTTGTAAGAGGTCATACCATACTAGGAATGAATCTGGTCTATCTCCATTTGTGTCTAGAACAGAGGGTTCCCCTAGTAGAAAGGCAAAAGTCCTAAAAATAACAACCCCAGCCAACCCAGGGCAAGGTTATTTGTAGACAAATTGCAAAAAAAAAATGTGTTGCAGTTCAGCTTTTGGAACAACCTTTGTTATTTGGTTGCAAGCTATACAGTTAGCCTTTCATTCAAGTTTCATATGCAGCTGAATCTCTCCAGAAGTTATGTAAATGCTTAAAGTGAAATTAAAGAAATCTACAAATTCAATACCAACCTTATAGGGCACCTAGGTCACTTTGATTCCAGACAAGAGAAATGGAACATTTGGTATGAAATTTTCCTCTTAGGGATGCTGTGAAGTAGTATAGATGAGTATTTTGAAGTATAAATGTAATTACCAATTAAGAGTAAGTTAATCTGGAGGTGACTTCACTTTGCCTTGTTTCTTGATGTCTATATTTCCCCCTATACTTAAAATGATTTCTCTTTCATGTCTTGAAGATCATGGAATCACAGAGTTAGGCTATTGTGTCTAACCAATGCCTGAATGGTAGTCCTATCTACACTATACCTGACAGATGACCCTCCAACCTTTGTTTGAAGAACTCTGAGGCATCTTCCCTTCAGAGGGACTTCATGAGGCAGTGTATTCCACCTTTGGACATTTCTAATTCATTCCCCTTGTTATCAAACTTAAATAAGTTTTCATTGGTCATTCGCTTTTCAACTGCTCTTCCTAGGCAGTGTTATAGTAACCCACAAATATAGAAACAAGTGAATATTTGAATACATGGGGAGATGTTTTCCGCAAGGTTTGGTTCATAAATTTGATCTTTTCTGGGGAACAAATCTCTGTTAAGCTGAAGGAGAAAGTGATTAGCTCTGCTTTCTACACTCTATCCTTCAACACATATTTACCCAACTTTTAACCTTTGATTGAAAAAAACACAAGCAACTCAATAGTGATCAGGAAAAACAAAAACAGAAGAAACTATGTTTGAAAAAAGTGGAGTAGGAATACTACTACCCTTTTGATTAGTAACCAATCCCAGTACCAGAAAAACTTCAAAGCATTCTCTAAACATTGAATTTTCATCAGTGATGCTGTAAGCCTGAACTCTCATCTTTCATGCCATTACATCAAAAGAGAAAAAAGAAGAATGGCCAGATTTCAAAGCAACCTCGTGCTCAGGCCAGAAACTGTGTATTTAGCTACCACACACACACACACAAACACACACACAAGTAGTTAATTACTTTGTTTAGTTATATTTTAATAAATGCTATAATTAATGTTTCTTAAAAAAAGAAAGAAAGAAAGAAAGCTGATATCCAGGCATTTCCGAAATGAAATGCTGAGCCCAAGGGATTTCTAGAAGAAAATGAAAAAAAGAATTAACCAGTGTCAAATGTGGACATCTTCAAAGGAAAGAGGATCATTTAAAGTCACTTTTTACTTACTGAAATATGGTCTGCATATTTTATTGTTTCTGTCATCTTGCTTGTTACAGCCCAGCCAGTGAATGTTCAAAGAACATAAAGTCCTACAAATAAATAAACTGTGAATATGAAGGAAGATACAAAAAGGCAACAATTAAGATCAAACACTTGATGTGTAAGCTTTGATTATGTGAAGCAATTATGTTCCCCAATGGTTTTCCGGCAAAGTGTCATTTAACCAAGATAGCTGTACAGCAGGAAATCGGAAAGTTGTAAGTATCGCTACACACTGTGAGTAATTAGGAAAACATATCTGAATGGAACAGACATTGTGGAGGTGTTTGCTCTTGTTTTCAGTTATTTCTGCTTACCAGTGTCAAATATGACTGCTTGGACTAGCTAAGAGAGCTGTGCATTGGGATACATTTCATCGGATGCAATTTCTCCCATGAGATGTGCCTTTTATTCAAGGAAAATTGAAATTCTTACCATCGAGTCCAATGTGGAAGCCCATGACATCACATACACCTCATTTTCCATGTGGAAAAAAGTTCAGAGGCCGATTCTAAGCTTATTTGAACTGTATAAAAGAATGTGCTGTCACAAACATATTTGAAAACTAGCTTGGAGAATATATACCAAGGGTTTGACACAGGAAAGGTCTATGATTTCAATGGAAAGGCTGCTGATCTCATGACAAGACCTGAGTCTAAACTCCACTGTGCATGGCTGTCATATTAGCTGTGTGACTTCATGCATCTAATTTAATCTCTCTGGTCTCAGTTTCTTTATCTATAAAATGAGATGGTTGGGACTAAATTACCATTAAGGGCCCTTCCAGCTAAAGCTCTATGATTCAAAAATCATTATGGAAAATACAGTATTGGAACTCCCTCCACCAAGGAGCCAGAGCACAACCAATCTACAGTAGAATCATAGATCTAGTGTTGAAAAGGACCTTAGAGGTCATTTGGTCCACTTTCCTTATTTTGTAGATGAGGAAACTGAGGTCCAGAGAGGCTTACTGCCTTGTTCCAGAACCAGGGTTTAAACCCACATTGTCTGATACCAAACCCAGGAGTTTCCTGAGGTGCATAGAAATTTTGACTTGCCAGGGTCGCACAGCTAATGAGTGTCAGAAGTAGGATATGAATTTGAGTTTTCCTGACTTCAGGCCCAGCACTCTACCTACTATGTCATGCTCCCTTTTCTGTGTATGGTTATTAAAATTAAGGTAACAAAGTAAAGAATTAAAAGGGGGATAGTGAGCTCCTTCTAATGAGTAAAGTATTCCCTAAATGCTTGTATGGGTTGACAAATTAATTTATCAAAGTACAGGTGAAATGTCTGAACAGGAATTTCCTTTCTACTTTTCTGCAACATATATATATATATATATATATATATATATATACACACACACACACACACACACACACACACACACACATGTTTATGTATATATACATACATACATATATACAGACACACATGTGTGTGTATGTGTGTGTATGTAATCTTTAATGAGGTAACTTGAGTTGGACATCGAACATTTGAATCTGTATTAAGCATTTATTATGTTCCAGGCATTCTGCTAAGAGCCAAGAGTAGAGAGAAGGGTAAAAACCAATCCTTGTCCTCAGGGAGCTTATATTCTAATGGAGAAGACAAAATGTGCATGAGAGGGGGAGGGAGGAAAGGAACAAGCATTTATTAAGTGCCTACCTAGTACATTCCAGACACCTTTCTAAGTGCTTTGTAATGGCTTATTTATAATAGGTACATACAACTGGGTACATACAAAGCATATAGAGTAGATGGAGGTTACCTGAAGGTGTCAGTTGCCAGTGGCCATGAATTCAGTGAGTGCTTATTATATGCTAAGTAGCAGGAAATACAAAGGCAAAAATGAAGCAGCCCTTGTCATGAAGCTTGAGCTAAGGTAGAACATAAGGATGCTTAGGACAGTATTCATTAACAAATTCTGTTCCATTTTGTTTAATAGTAACTTGAATTAACACTAAGATTTAGGAATTTAGAGCTAGAAGAGGTAACCTTACAAGTCACCTAATCTAATCCTTTCATAAATGACTTGCTAAGGTCACACAATAGTGAGTAGCAGTGCTATGATTTGACTCCAGGTCCTTAAGAGAGGCAAATGGTCTGGGGTCTGATACCATAAGGAGTATTGTATTCAGTTCTAAGTGTAAATTTATTTTGGAAGGGCAAAAATTAGCTGGAGAACATACAAAGGAACTTGACCAGGATGGTGAAGGGCTTCAAATTAAACCATATGAGCAATGGCTGAAGAACTGAGGAGGTTTAGCCTGCAGAAGAGAAGACTTATGGTTGACATCATAGCTATCTTCAAGCATGGAAAGACTGTCATGTTAAAAGATTAGATTTAGGCAAGATAGTATGACGTAATGGGAAGAGTGCTAGACTGAAACTTAGGAGGGGTCTGGATTCAAATTCAGATTGCAACATTTGCATGTGCAAGTCACTTAAATTCTTTGAGCCTCAGTTTCCCCATCTGCAGTGATGAATAATGATACCCACAGTGCTGTAATTCACAGGTGTGTTTTGTTGTTATTGTTGTTAGCCTCAAATGAGATATTGTATATTAAGCACTTTGCAAATGTTACCACGTGAATGTTAGCTATGGCTGTTTGCCCAGAAGAGAAGCACTAGGCAGTGGTAGTTGCAGAGGGAGTTAGGCTTGATGGAAGGAAAAAACTTCCTAGTATTTTGAGCTACATCTTAGATATACAATCCTGGGGAGGTTCCCCTCACTATTCTCTCTCTCTCCTAGGGATCTTCCAACCACAACTGAATGGCCACTTGTTGGGCAAAGGAAATCTTGTTCTGCTCCTGAGTGAGCTGCCTGGTGTCTGAGATCTTTTTCAACTCCAAGATTCATTGTGTCTGAATCCAGACTTCTTTCCACTGCTCTGCTTTTGCCCACAGGAACTGAATTACATAAAAATGTGGTGGAAAGAATTAAGATCTCCTGGAAGAATGTTTTGAGTTATAGTGGCCACTGAGGAAATTCACTGAATAATCATCAGATAATTTTGAAGATTCTTTTGAAGAAGCTGAGACAGGACCTGTGAAAGCAGTTTTTTTAAGATTCATTTCTTGATTCCTGTTTTATCAATTTCAAAAAAAAAACAAACAAAATTTGTCTCAACAAAATTAGGGTTGGGAAGGAAAGATGATTTACAGTTTGACATACCAGGAGCTCACCCATGCCCACAAGTGCCCAACAAAAAATGAAGCCAACTTCCTTCTGGTAGGCCTTTGGGCCTACGGTAGAGCTGCAGCCATGGCCATCCACTACCCCATGGCCGTAGGCCTCAACAAGGGCCACAAAGTTACCAAAAACATTTCAAAGCTGCGACACTGATGCCGCCGTGGGCGCTTGACCAAACACACAAAGTTTGTGAGACATATGATCCGGGAGGTGTGTGGATTTGCCCCTTATGAGAGGCGGGCCGTGGAATTGTTAAAGGATAAGCGAGCCCTTAAGTTCATCAAAAAAAGGGTGGGAACTCACATCCGCGCCAAGAGGAAGAGAGAGGAGCTCAGCAACGTCCTAGCTGCCATGAGGAAGGCTGCTGCCAAAAAAGACTAAGCTGGACCCTGTCAACCTTCACCACTTACCCAATAAAGATTTGACAAATAGAAAAAAAAAAGAATGAAGCCCAAACTCACTACATTCTTTGGAGGTAGCTTACTTCTTATGTTCCCCATCCCCCATATCCAATCAGTTCCTAAGGCTTGTCATTTTTTTCCTTCATAACATCTCTAGTAAATGTCTCCTCTCCTCTGATAGAACTGCCACCCTGGTACAGGTACTCAGCACCTGTCACCTGAGCTATGTCAATAGCCTGCTCATTGGTCTCCCTGACTCAAGTCTTTACCCAGTCTGGTCCATCTTCATTCAGCTGTCAAATTGATCTTCCTAAAATGCAGGGCTGACCATATCTCAACCCACCCCGATTCTATTCAGTAAACTCCAGCGGCTCCCTGTCACCTCTAAGATCAAATATAAAATCCTCTATTTGGCTTCTAAAGCCCAGCACAACCTGGTTCTTTCCTAATATTCCAGTCTTCTTGCACCTTATTCCTCTCCACGTACCCCGTGATGCAGGGACACTTGTGTCTTTGCTATTCCTTGCATGAGACTCCTGACTCTAGATAGTTTCTACGCCTAGAATTAACTGTCTGCCTCCTAATCTCTACCTTTTGGCTTCCCAGGCATCCTTCAAGTCTCAGCTACAGAACTGCCCTGTGCAAAGAAGCCTTTCTCAGTCTTCCTTAATCTTTGTGCCTTCCTTGGAAAATTGTCTCCTATTTATCCTGGATCTATCTTGTTTTTTTCATAGTTTACATATCATCTTCCCCATTAGATTGTGAAGTCCTTTCGGGATTGAACTCGTGTGTGTGTGTGTGTGTGTGTGTGTGTTTCTTCTTTACAATCATTGCTAAGTATAGTGCCTGGCACATAGTAAAGGCTTAATAAATGCTTGTTGACTTGATTTGACTTGAGGGAAAGTCAGGGAAGAGAAGATGTCTTATCCATGTTCTGTTCAGCACAGAGAGTATTATGGGCAGCAAATTAAGTCAGCAACCTAATACATTATCCAGATATAAATAAAAATAAATTTGTGCTTTTTTTCTGGGGGGGGGGACTCTGGATAAATGATTTCATTGGTGTGGTGAATGTCCTAAGAGGAAATTCCCCTCTACCAATACAGAGAGGCAAATGTTCCATCATTTACAGTTGCCTGGGGATACTGAGAGGTGAGGGGACTTGCCCACAAACACATTGGTGTCAGAATAGGACTCAAACAGAGCTTTTGCTGACTTGAGTCCATCTCTTTGTCTAGAACACCACATTGTAAATAATCATTTATATTTATGGGACTTCCCAAATCTGGAATTTCCATGATTCAGAACAACTGTTCTACAGTTTTTTGTCTTAGAGTGGCCTGGCACTGAAGGGTTAAGTGATTTCCACAAGATTAGACAACCATTAGGAAGTGTCTAGACAAGAGATGAATATGGCCTGCTATACTTCATGCGGTTTACCCAGGATACCTGGCTATACTTACAAAGAGAAAACAGGCCCCTATCATGGCTGCTTTGATTTTCACATCTAGATCTGCAGGAACGTGTATCCCAAAATTGTCAGCATTGGTGAAGACATCATTTACAAATCCTGACCAATACTTTGAAATCTTCCCAATTGTTATCTTTTCATTAATGGTTTTCACCTGTGGAAATCAAGTTAAATTAAAAAAAAATAAGAACAAAGACATCAAAAGCCATTTGGAAACTTTAAAAAAAAACTTTTCTGTGATAAATTAGGATTGTTTAATCATAGGATCTTAATACTTAGAGAGAGAAAATCAAGACAAAAGAAGGAAGCAATATGGCAGAGTTGACAGGATATTGTGAAGCCAAGACAACCTGTCAGTGTCTCGATTTTCTCATTCATGATATAAGAGGATTGGGTATATTATTTTTCAAGTAATTTCTACCTAAAAAAAAAATGAAAAAAAACCTTGTATCTTTTTTTTTTTCCTCCTCCCGTTTATCCATTAGCATTGGAGAACCTACTGGGTGCCTTATAAATATTTACAAAGTGATTATTCTTTAAAGTTCATAAAAATATTTGTCAGTAAGAAACTTAAATCTTTTTTACTTTCATGACACTGTTCATTTTAGCCCTCAGTAACAACTTTAGTTTATGGAGCTGAATTAGGTATGTAGTCAGCCTGGAAGTGAGCAAAGCATAATGCCCTGGGGTTAGCAAATTTAGCAGCCCAGTACATTGATCTTGTTCTTCTCAGATCTCCTTGTCGTTGACCCAACATTTATTCACCTGAAACTGATTTAGCTCAAGCCTTTCTGGATGACCATTGTCAACCTCCTGATTGGACAGCATGCCCATTAAGTTGGACGAGTGTTAACCCTTCAGGTCTTTTTTCGATTTCTGGTTCTTCTAATCTCTGGCTCCTTGTACTTACAGAACTACTATTTCTGTTCTTGTTCTTATACTTATACTTATACTATCCATAGAAACTCATCCCTTGAGGGCAAGGAGAGAACAGATGCCACGAGGTTTGTTGGAAACATTTGGGTTTTAGAATGAAGTTTTGAATGATTTTTCTTTTTTTATATTTTTGGCCATAGCTTAAGGGTGGCATGCTGTTTGTCATCCCCTTTTACCTGTTGGTTTAATATTCAGGATTTTCAGATTTCATCCCTCAGAAACTTGAACTTGAAATTTGACAAGAAGTACTTGGCCCAACCTATCAATTATATACTTAGCCTGATTCCTACTTTTAGTCATGCATTTTCCATTAAATGTATGTATGTATATACAATGTTATTAAACTACAGAGAAAGTAGTAAAAAATACAGTAGTTTTCTTCAGAGTAAGTTTTAAAAGAAATAATTATCTATATATAACTTTTTATTATGTTATTTCCAATTCTAAAATATCCACCATTTCCAGTCCTTAAGTGTTATTGATGACCATTGGTCCCATCTTTATCCCTAGACTTTGGCTAAAATAATATTACTTATTTATTTATCCTAAATCCTGTCTTAGAGATAGATCCACAGTTTGGGGCAGATACGTGGTTTCAGACATTGAGGCCAGCTTGTCATGCAGAAAACCTAGTAGCTACACCCAGGTTCAAGCCAGGTTGCCCTCAGATGCACTTTACACTAGACATAGATTCTAGCTAAGGGTAAGTACTTCAGCTTAAGCACCATTCATTGGATTGTTCTCTTTCTCAGGTGGTTGCTGAAGTCTGGTTTTCATCATTGTTTTCCACATGACAGAAAGGAAAGTGAATTGGCCCTATAAGAACAACGCTGGGATCCTAAAGATCAGAACGGATGAGGCTTGTGGTGAAACTTATAAAATCAAAATTGAATGTGTGTGTGTGTGTGTGTGTGTGTGTTTTAAGGTATGTTGAGGTAAAGAAGATCAAAGAAAGGTTATGATCTTTTCTTGTTTTGGAGGGAATGGTGATAACAGATGATGGAAAGCAGAGTTTTTCAGCTCCTATGTTGCATATGTTTAAAAGCCAGGGAGAATGATTTTCAGCCAGGAAAATAGCACAAAAGAATAAATGGGTAACTGAAATACAAAGTAAGGGAGAAGATGATGCCAGTGTACCTAGTTGCGCTCAATGAGTTTTAATCACCAGGTCAAAATGATTCAGTTTGAAAAAAAAAAAACAACTCACTGCTGTAATTGTGGCTCTTTTTTGTGTTTTTTTTTTGGGGGGGGAAGTGTGAAGAATAGGAGAGGTACTGCAAGATTAGAACAAACAAAAATTCTTATTTTCACCTATCATCTTACTGATTATAGGTAAGTAAGGCTGACTTTGTTTCTTGGCAACATTTTAGAATATATTACAAAAGGAGTGATGTGTGAGCAGAAAGCAAAGAGGCAACAGGAGTGCATTAAAAGTAGACCTGATTCAAATAACCTCATTTCCTTTTTTGACAGGGTTAGAAGCTCAGGGAAAAGCCATAGACATAGTGTACTTGGATTTCAGCAAAGAATTTGATGGGCTCTTCAGAGCCTTGCAACATGCATGGTAGTACAGTTAGGAGGAGTTGGTATTGGTCGAATGACCTGGCCCGAGTATTCTTATTACTAGATTGATATCAACCTAGAAGTAGACCTCTAATAGAGTGACATAGAGTTCTGCCTTCAGCACTATGTTTTTCAAACATATTAGTCTATCAATCAACAAGCATTTATTAAGCAGCTAGTATGTGCCAGGCACTGTGCTAGCAGCAGGTGATATAAAGACAAAAGTGAAGCATATTCTACCTTTAAAGAGCTTATTTTTTATTATGTGTCATCATCATCATAATGGTAACAATACCCAGCATTTACATGTCCCTTAACAGTTTATAAAGCACTTTATATATACTGTTTCATTTGATCTTCACAGCAATCCTCTGAGGTAGATGCTGTTTTTCCTATGAGGAAACTGAGGCTGAGTGGCTAAATGACTTGCCCAAGGTGATATCACTGGGAAGTCCATCTGAGGCAGGATTCAAACTCAAGTCTTATAGATGTTAAGTCCAGAATTCTATCCACTGAACTACCTATCACATGGGAGGCATATCAATTTTGCAAGGATATAAAGGAGAAAAAATAGATAACATCTTGGATGAAATGAAAATCAAAAAAATCTCAATAGGCTACAGCAATAAACAGAAACTAATAACACGAAGCTTAAAGAAGACTTTAAGTATGCTGAGGTTTTAAAAACTATACTTTAATAACTGGCATTTATATGTCACTTTAAATTTACAAAGCACTTGCTTTCTATCCTTGTCACAACCCCATAAGGCAGGCACCACATATTTGATTATCTCCATTTTATATTTTTAGAAATTGTGTCTCAGAGAGATTGACATGGTCACATGACCAAGTACTGGATGACATATGGTTCAAATTCAATTCTCTCTTGGCTGTAAGCTCAACACTCTTTTATACTATATCACATTGTACAAGTGTGGTCAAAGATGTAACACAGTAGTTAGTATATCAGTAGTCAATATAAAGTGATAGTAGCAATAAGATTGCAAAAGGGAACCTAAAAGTCACATACAAACCTATAAAAATTAGACCGGAAACCCCTACCCTAGCCCACTCCAGCCCTCTTTCATTTCCACTGGGGCCATGGCTGCTGAGTGCTCCAAACTCTAATCCATAGTTATGTGAATGATTATCTATGCCTCTCCCCATCTTCTTGCCCTGCTGCCTACCTTCCTTCTCCATTCCATTTCTGTCCCCATGTTGTCTGCCTCTGTCCTCCTTGCTTTTCTCATTTGTCTATACTTTCTCTGCCATTTACCCCTATGCTTTTTGTGCCTTATTAAATTGTGATTGCAGCCCCATTTCTCAGTGACACTATGGTTTTTCCCAGTGAGTTTCCAAAGAATTGGCTGCATCTGCCCCATTTCATAATTTCATAAATTAATTATCAATTCACCTGCCTAACAATTTGATTTGTACAAAAATGGAACCCACCTTCCTCGGAAGACTCCAGGATGTCATTTATTGGAGGTATTCAATTAAAGTCTGGGCTATTTGGGAGTTTCAGGTATGTTGTACAGGTCTTTCACGTATGAGATGGATTAGGGGGATCCTGAGTTTATTCCCTTCAAGTTGCCCTGCACTCCCCCCTCAAGAAAAAACTGATAACAATTCAGACTTCTAGAAACAACCACTGTATGTTATTTGAATATGAATAGTAAGGCTGATTAAACAATAAACTTGTGAATAACCTTGCTTATAGGATTTCCTATCAACTAAAATTGGGAATTGTCTTTAAAATACCAGAATTTTCACTCAAAGCGGGATTCCTATATAACTTTTTAGAGACATTCAGTCCTAACATACATTAGACATTTTTCAAAGTGTTAGCCTCTAAAAGGCTAAAATACAAAGCTGGCATCTAAGATGAACATCCCCCCAAACATACCTCAAAGTCAACATCTCCAAAACAGCCACATGTTGCATAGGGACCCACAATTTTCAAGATGTCTTCTTTGCTTTCATTTTGAATTGTGAACTTTGGCAGGAAAGGGTCCCATTTCTGTACAACATAACCAACTATTGTACCAGGAGGGGCTTGAATTTCTAACTGTAAGAAGACACAAGAAGAAAATCAAGTTAATTCTAAGATCAAAATATTTTTTGGTTGTAATATAATGATAATTTAATGTGATGCATGAGGGTTGTTATGAAATGATGCTTATTCTTCTTTGACACCATTAGCTTCAGGGTAATCAATCAATCAATCAATGGGAATTTATTAAAGACCTACTATGTTCCAGGTACTCTGCCCTCAAGGAGCTTATGTGTAAAGGTAGTACAAAATTTTTACAAAGGAAATCCAAGGTATTGGGATTGAGAGGTTGGAAGATACTAGATTCTAGGTTTCATGAAGAAAATAATACCTAATGACCAAGCTTAAAATTTAATATTCATACATTTCTGTGTTGATTTATTTCTAAATATTAAATAGGTTAACCAGGGATGGAGATTTTAATATGAAGTTATTTGCAAAAGGGATATAGAAGTACCTTTTACCTCCTCTTCTTTAATGCCATGATCCCCGGAACAGTGTATTCCAAATAGAACAACAATAGTTAAATGTCAAATTACATAATATATGTAAAGTGTTTTGAAAATTTTAAGGCACTATATAAACATGAGTAGCTATTAAGTGCCTTGGAAATAGTTAGACAGTGATACAAGTACCTTATAAAAATGCTTCCCAAAATGCAATAAACTATATACAGAGTTGACTTTGCTTAATTATTTTTTTTACCATTCTCCCAGAATCTTTTTGATCATGAAAAACAGTGTCAGTCTGACAACAACACTCTGGAGGTCACCAGTAAGAACTTTGACACACATAAATTAAGGCTTTGAGTTTCACTACCATCTTTCCAGAGTTACTTAGACAGAATTGATGGGCTGTGGTTATAAATGAATGAGAAGGGTTATGTGAAGCAAACAAGTATCATTTGCTAATTAGATTGTAAGCTCTTTGAAAGGCAGGAGTTTTTTTTTTCTCTTTTTGTATCCCCAATGCTTAGTACAGTGGCTGGCACATAGTAGGTGCTTAATAAATGTTTATTTATTGATTGAATTATTATCCCAAGATGGAACACGGCAAAATGAAGAGTTAATTCAGATCATCTAGAACCACTATCCAAAGATTTAACAGCATGTAAGTTCAAGATTTCATTAAGATTATGTTTAAACACCAATAGCTTCTGGATATTATTATTATTGTTATTATTATCTGTAATAATATGACAAATAGAGTGTTCTACTGATTGCCAATTGAACAAATTCAACATTTAAAAAAAATACTTTCTAAATTCAAGGCACAGTGTGGTAGGTACTGGTGATACATTCCATAATCCATGTCCACACCTTTCCACAAGCTGTTTCCTTTGTCTGGAATCCTCTCTCTCCTCACCTCTCTCTTGGAATATTTTAGTCCCTTCAAGGTTCAATTAAAATCCACCTACTGCATGAGATGCTTTATTTTATCTCCAATGTTAGTACTCTCCCCCATCCTCAAAGTTACTTTGTATGTATTTTGTATTGCTTGTATTTTATATATTTTGTATTTATTTATCAGTTTACATATTATTTCTCTTAGTAGAATGTAAACTCCTTGAAGGGCAGGAGCAATTTTGCTTTTATCTAGCAAGGTCTTGGTGAATAGTAGGTGCTACATGAATTATCATTTAATTTAATTGAAATAGATTAAAAGAAAATAGCCCTTACCCACAAGAATCTTCCATTCAACTAGAGGGAAGCAAACAAACAAAACCAAACACTTTACCTACATGATTTCATTTGAGTTTTCATCTACTGTTCTATCTTTTTTTCAGCTCAATAATTAAACAATGGATAGGATGTAATGGAACAAAATAACCTCAACTAGCCTGCTGATTTGGGGAAAAACATGGATTAGAAACCAGTCATCTCACAATTAAAACACACAAAAAAATCTTTAAAAGGTAATTTTTAAAATGTGTTTACCATGCCAATGACTATTTCCATCATTCCACTGAGTATCTGAGTGTATTAATGCACATCTAACAAAAAATAAATTACTAATATTGACATAACCCAAGAAGAAAACAGATGAAAATTTCTATGTATCTGCCAATTTCCTACAAAACAGTGCTGCTTAATCTAACTTGAATGTTGATGTGGAGCCAAAAAAAAAAATACAAGATCAAAGCCACAAATTTTATGCTGGTAAGAGAAATAGAAGAGGCCCTTGTCATCACTGTGAATGTAAAAGACATGTTTGACCCAAAGTATAAGGTGAGGAGAGAGAGGATTCCAGACAAAGGAAACAGCTTGTGGAAAGGTGTGGACATGGATTATGGAATGTATCACCAGTACCTACCACACTGTGCCTTGAATTTAGAAAGTATTTTTTTAAATGTTGAATTTGTTCAATTGGCAATCAGTAGAACACTATTTGTTATATTATTACAGACAGTATGATATGGTATATGGGGTGTATAGTCATTTTCAGTCATGACCCCATTTGGGGTTTTCTTGGCAAAGATATTGGAGCAGTTTGCCATTTACTTTTCTAGCTCATTTTACAGATGATAAAATGGAGGCAAACAAGCTTAAGTGACTTGCCTAGGGCCATACAGCTAGTAAGTATCTGAGATCATATTTGGATTTAGGAAGATGAATCTTTCTGACTACAGGTCTCATGCTCTATCCACTGCACCACCTAGCTGCCCCAGTGGATACTGGTCTCAAAACCAGAAGAGGTACATTCAAATCCAATTCTCTGGAACATACTGACTTTTGTTATTTTGGGCAAATCATTTAGTATCTCCGTATTCTAGGCCACTGACGTCAAGCTCAAATATAAATGGGAGCCACTAATATGGTCTTCATTCTGACTAGAAAAGTACATGTGTTTATGTGTTTTTTTTATTATTATTAATACATCAACATGTTAAAATCAGATCAGATTTATATTTTAATTTAGTTAGGCCCAGCAAGTATGGGCAGCATGTGGCCCACCTACCTAGTATTTGAAACTTTGCTTCTAGGCAATACTCTAGCACCATAAATTGCAAGAAACTAGTGGCCTTCATTGCTAGAGGGAATTTCCTGACTTGGAATTTCCTCATCAATGAAATTATAAGGCCTGTTCCTGTCCTTATAAGGAATCTATGGTGGGACACTCAGGCGCCACAGAGTCCTGGCCTTGGAGTCAGGAGGACCTGATTTCAAATTCGGCCTTAGACACATGATAATCACTAGCTGTGTGACCCAAGGCGAGTCACTTAACCCCAATTACCTCACACACAAAAAAAAGAGTCTATGGGAAAGTAAAATGATTGGAATTCTTTAAAAAGTAGAATTGGCTAAATGGAAAAGGAGGTACAAAAGCTCACTGAAGAAAATAATTGCTTAAAAATTAGAATGGAGCAAATGGAAGCTAATGACTTTATGGGAAATCAAGGACCAATAAAACAAAATCAAAAAAATGAAAAAAACAGAAGACAATGTGAAATATCTCATTGGAAAAAAAAATGACCTAGAAAATAGATGCAAGAGAGAGAATTTTAAAATTATTGGATTACCTGAAACCATGATCAAAGAAAGAGCCTAGACATTATCTTTTAAGGAATTATCAAGGAAAACTGCCCTGACATTCTAGAACCAGAGTATAAAATTGAAATTTAAAGATTTCACTGATCACCTCCTGAAAGAAATCCCAAAATGAAAACTCCCAGGAATATTATAGCCAAATTCCAGAGTTCCTAGGTGAAGGAGAAGATATTGTAAGCAGCCAGAAAGAAACAATTCAAGTATGATGGAGCCATAGTCAGGATAACCCAAGATTTAGTGGCTTCTACATTAAAGCGTCAGAGGGCTTGTAATACAATATTCTGGAGGACAAAGGAGCTAAGATTGCAACAAAGAATCACCTACTCAGAAAAACTGAGTATAATCCTTCAGGGGAAAAATAGACATTCAATGAGATAGAGGACTTTCAAGTGTTCTTGATGAAAAGATCAGAGCTGAATAGAAAATTTGACTTTCAAGAACAAGACTCAAGAGAAGCATAAAAAAGGAAACAGGAAAGGGAAATCATAAGGGACTTAATAAGGTTAAACCATTTACATTCCTACATAGGAAGATTATATTTGTAACCCATAAGACCTTTCTCATTATTAAGGTAGTTAGAAGGAGTATATATAGATGGAGGGCATAGGTATGAGTTGAATATGAAGGGATGATATCTAAAAAATAAAGTTAAGGGGTGAGAGAGAGGGATGTACTGGGAGAAAGAGAAAGGGAGCAGTCGAACAAGGTAAATTATCTCACGTAAAACAGGCAAAAGAAAAGCTTTTACAGAAGTGGAAGGGAAGAGAGGGGATATAAGGGAGAGTGAGTGGACCTTACACTCATCAGAATTAGCTCAAAGAGGGAATAACAAACATATATAAGCAATTGGCTATAGAAATTTATCTTATCCTATAGGGAAGTAAGAGGAGAAGGGGCTAAGGGAAGGGAGGGGGTAATAGAAGGGCAGATTAGGGGAGGGGTGGTCAGAAGCAAACACGTTGGAGGAGGGACAGGTTGAAAGGAAAGAGAGAATAGAATAAATGGAGGTGGGAGAATTAAGATGGAAGGAAATACAGTTAGCAGTAGTAACTGTGAAAAAAAAACTGAAGCAAGTTTCTCTGTTAAAATCTTCATTTCTCAAACATATAGAGAACTGAATCAAATTTATGAAAAAATAAGAGCCATTCCCCAATTGATAAATGATCAAAAGATATAATCAGTTTTCAGATGAAGTAATCAAAGTGATATATAGCCATATGAAAAAAAAATATTCTAACTCACTATTGATTGGAGAAATGCAAATTGAAATAATTCTGTTCTGTTCTGTTATGTTATAATTATTAGATTTTCTAATAGGACTTAAAAGGCAAATGACAAATGTTGGAAGGGATGTCAGAAAAATGAGATATTAATGCACCATCAGCAGAGTTGTGAACTGATTTAATCATTGTGTAGGGCAATTTGGAACTATGCCCAAAGGGCTATAAAAACCATGCATAACTTTTGAATGAGCAATATCACTACTAAGCATGTATCCAAAAGGAGATGAAAACAAAAAAAAATAAAAAGAGGACATATGTGTACAAAAATATTTATAGCAGCCCTTTTCTGGGAGTAAAGAATTAGAAATTGAGGGGATGCCCATCATTTGGGAATTGTAGAATGTGATTATGAATGAATACTATTGTGCTATGTGATTATGATGGAATTCTATTGCACTATAAGAAATGATGAGCAGGATGCTCTTAGAAAAATCTGGAAAGGCTTACATGAACTGATGCAAAGTGAAATGTCTTCTGTATAAAGAAACAGCAATATTGTAAGATGATCAACTGTGAATGACTTAGCTATTCTCAGTGCTACAATGATCCAAGACAACTCAGAAGGACTTATGATGAAAAACGTAGCCATCTCCAGAGAAAGAACTGATGGTGTCTGAATACAGATTGAAGCATGCTTTTTTATTTTACTTTATTTTTCTTGATTTTTTTGTCTGTGTTTTCTTTCACAACATGACTATTACGAATGTGTTTTGCATGACTACACATGTATAAACTATATTGAATTGCTTGCCTTCTCGATGAGGGGCGTAGGGAGAAGGAAGGGGGAGAATTTGGAACTCAAAGTTTTAAAAACAAATGTTAAAAATGTTTTTACATGTAATTGAGGAAAAATAAAACACTGAAATACAAATAAGCCTGAAAAAAGAATGTAAAATTATTTACAATGGGATTTTATTATACTTAATAAATTGGTTATCATCATGACTCAGAGTTAGTGTGTGTGGACTCTGCTGTGTTAAAATATCTTTTTTTTTTAAATAAAATTACTCTTGCCTGAAGACTTGAAATAATTCTTCTTACTTTCAGCCTTCCCAATGTTATTACATACACACACACACACATACACACACACACACACATCCTCAGGGCTCCTACATGATTCTAACAAAAAGTTGGCTTTCAATGAAAATGGACTAATCTTAGCACAAGCATCTCAGTATTCCTTAATTTTGTAAACTAAGTATCTACCACATAGTAGGTACTTAACTAAGCATTGTTGGATTAGATTGAATTAATATTCCCTCTACCCATTGGTTTTCTTTATTTTTTTATCTTATTACTTTATATAAAAGAGTGAGAGGAAATATGGCATAATAGATATGTTTGCATTAGTGCCACATTGACATGGGTTCAAGTCTGGCCTCTGATCCATACTGCCTGTGAGACCCTGTGAAAGACACTTAAATTCTCAGTGCTACAGGAAACCTTTCAAGGGTCAAGGTTGCAAAGAAATTGATTGAGAACATTTCTTCTGCACAGATGTTCTCTATGCGGATGAAATTACAGATGTGCACAAAAAAATTAAGAGATGCTCCTATCTTATTTATCCCCTAAAATGATATTTATTATTATCATTATTATTATTAGTTCATGTTTATATATCACTGTAAGATTCCTAATACCTTTGAGTCATTTTCTAGCTTTTGCTATTATTTGCATCTTATGATAATTGATTAAATTCTGCTGCTTTGGCCAGCAGATATATATGAAAATGTCTCCCCCACTTCAGTAGAATTATCTGTAGAACTGTTTATTCCATTTAAGAGAACAATAATGTAAAGTGTTGGAGAAATACTTATACCTTGTCTATAACCACTCTTTTGTCTCTATTCCAGTCATAACTTTCATCTAAGCCTTGGGTGTCTCTCACAAGGACTATAGAAATCCATTTCTCTCTAGATTCTCAGCTTTCTGTCTTACTCCCTTTGATTAAATACACATGCATTCTTTAAAGACTTATTCATTACACTCCAATTTGACTGACACCTAGTCTTCCAAATTATTTAGAGACTCCCCATTGTTTTCTCCAAAAGTTTCCCACCCCATACTTTGAGGTTTCCTGCATTTCTGATTCTGCCTTTTTTGTATACAACCTCTTTGCATATTTCTTCCTCATTCTTCTAGGTATATTTCTGAAATTACTTTTTTCTAGTTGACTGCACGAAGTAAGCCTTCAATTCAGCTGTTTAGCACATTGTGCTTTGGTTCATTTGATCTATTAAAAGTTTGGAAAGAGATGGGTGAATTTGAACAAAATTAGTTTGTTATTAATGGATATTAAGATAATATGTTTGGTTTATGGGTCAGCAGGAAGCATCATGGTGTATTGGAAAGCAATTGGTTTTAGAATAAGAGCACTCAGATTTGAATCTTCCCTTTCCACTTACTATACCTTGACCTCTGCCAAGTCACTTAACCTTACTGTGCCTGTTTCCTGTTATTTAAAATGAGTGTGGTGGGTGAAATGGTCTTTGAGATCCCTTTTAGTCCTAGGCCCATAATCCTAATTGGTCTATGTTAAAACAGAAAGGAAGCAAACAACATTTTTTTTTCAGATTGGCACTATATTCTATGATCTCATTGAAGAAATTTTCAATGCTACTTTGATGTGTTTATCTATGTTGTAATTTGTAGAAGATGAATTCACAGGATCAGGTAAACAGTATTGGAAGAAATATTAGAGGCCATTAACCCAATCCATACTTGTACAAAAATTCCTTATACAACAACCTTGACAAATGTTAAATCCCCAATTAGAGTGAGGGATGGAACCATTAAATCCAGATGCATCTCATTTCATTTTTGAGTAACTCTTATTGCTAGGGAGATTTTGTTTGTTGGTTTTTTTGCATTGAACCAAATTCCATCTTTCCACATCTTCCCTTCACTGATCCTAGCTCTAGCCTTTAGGGAAAAAAAGAACAAGCCAGTTCCCACCAGCTTTTCATCTTCCTTCCAAAGAGCTACTGAGATGTATACAGCTACTATAGCAGCTAACTGTCCAGAAGTTCTCCTGATGAACACATTATACTAGTTATGTAATATTCTTAGTGCACAGAAAATTTGGAATGCACTACAGGCACCTAGACATATGCATGGATGAACTAAAAAGCATTTAATAAGTGCCCACTATTTGTAAAAATTATTCTAAGTTCTAGTGATAAAATAGAAAAAAGTAAGACAGTTTTGTCCTCAGGGAGGACATATACTAATTGAAGGAGATGACACTGGGAGAAAAAAAAGGTTCAGCTTCAAGGTGGATGGAAATTCCAAGAAGTTCTAAGAGTGTAGTGGTAGGAATGCAGGGAGGGGAGGTGGTCCTTAGACTGTGAGAGTAGGTCAGATGATAACATGAAGGTGTGCAGGGCATACAGGGAGGGTAGATGATAAGGCCTGAAATACCTTAGGATGTACTAGCAAGGCAGATGCTAATGCCTAGTGATCATGTCACCATAATGAATGGAGTTGGTGACTAGAGGTTTGAAGAGGTGGGTCTTCTTATCACCTTTCTATTCCTGTTGGATTTTGGAGTTATTCTCTCTCTCTCTTTCTCTATATATGTATGTACATGTGATTTCTTTTTATCATCTATATTTATATCCATATATCTATCATCTATATCTATAGGTATGCTTCTACATATGATATATCATATAAATGGGGTAGATCTTCCCAAACTGATTGTAAGGATCATCTTTTTATAACTGTAATTGACATCACTGACTTAATCTCTCTTATTGAGGTCTCATCTTTAGACATAAAAGGACAAAGTTATTACAGTGATACAATAGCTATATATAGACTATACATACATATATGTATATGTATGTATATATACATGTGGGTGTGTATACATATATACACAAGTGTGTATGTGTATGTATGTGTGTGTGTGTGTGTGTGTGTATATACACACACCATTTACATGAAGTATGAAGTATAGAAGTACAACTTGGGTATGTCAACTGGAGTTTTGTCATAGGGTGTCAAACTCATATATGCTTCTGAGAGCCCTTCACCATTGTACAATCAACAGTTTAACACTTAGCAGGAATAATCAGTTATAACAGGAAGCTTCCATATAATAGGCTGGGACAAGTTCTTCTCTCATATTACCTTGTTCCCCTTCCCCCCAACTAAGCACATTTGCTCCCACTTACCCAGATGCAATTTATGGTACTTGCCCTAGGCTCGAAGTTTTTTTTGTTTTGTTTTCAATCTACAATAGTTTTGGTTGGAAATGAAAATTGTTAATCACTTAGTGTCTCGAACTATTCTGCTCTTGAAGCGTGGATGCTAATTACAACCACAAAATTTGTCATCCAGGGTTCAAACTAAATGCTATTTTAATAAGAATATTTTATTTTATTTTATTTATTAAGAGGAAGGAAAAAAAAAACAACACTTGAGTGATGTTGAAGAAGACTAACCTCTTGTAGATAGCAAGGGCACCAGCAGCTGGTACATCTCAGTGGTCTGTGCACTGTAATCACCTCTCTACCAGTGTTATCAGTGACCCTCAGAGTGCAGGATCTTAATGGTGAACAGAAATTACGGTTAAAGCAGATGCTTTCCTCTACTGCAAAGTATACTCGTTGTCCCAAGCGGTTTTTAATCTCATATTTGTTGGAAGTTTCAGTGCCAAGTATCACTAAGAGAAGGGAAAAAAAGTAATTAAAATGTTATAATCTAGCATGAACTTTCTTTGACTCTGTATATCAGTAGTCCATTCAATACTTATGAAGAAAATAAAAACAAATTTCTAACTACATCATTAAATTTGTAGTACCCATTTCATATCACCTGAGATTTATGATTTCAATTGTATGTCTATTTTATATCAATTCCATCCCTTGACCTACAAGGGTACTTTGTAGGTAATTATATGGGATTAGCTTTCTAATTTTCTTTACAGACCTATGCTAAATCAGATACTCCTGCATACCTCCCACACCATTTCAACTTAATAAATAAATAACAAAGAATCCATATATTTGTCTATTTCAAATTCAAAGTTAAATATCAAAGGGTTCACGTGTTATTTTACAATCTTAAAGATTAAGGTAATGCTTTAACTCTAAATCCCCTTTGTGACAAAGTTTCTGACTGCCTGATCCCTATGTTTTAGTATTCATTTTAGTCATATTTTGGACATATATTTGGAAAAATTCAAAGGAGGGTAGAAATGGAAATTCTTTATTTAACAATGCCCAAGTAATAGCAGATCCTTCTGTAACATCTTTAAATTGGAAAATCACTTGCAGATTGATTTACACACTGATGAGGTTGTGAAATTCCAGAACTGTGCTCCCTGTAGCTCTTCACATAATCCCTGACAACCCCTTTCTATCCCTGGAAATGCATTTATTCACAAGCAAGCTTCAAATACTTAAACTGAAAGAAATGAGTCAATATGATTTATCTTTTAGAATGAACTTGTACTGATAGGATGTTAATGACAATAATCAATTACCACCAAAAGTATGATGATTTTTAAAGTGATGCTTCTAAATCCATTGACTGATCATTTACCGAGGGGAATATGTATGTATACCAATCAACTGTAAAATTTGCAGTGCTATGTATTAAAAGGTAGAGAAAACATGGCATAGTGGATAGGAAACATGAATCAGGTAGATATAGGTTCAGAACATGCATAAGTCACTTACAATATAGCTATGTGACATTGACCACATCACTGAGCTTCTCTGTACCTCAGGCTTTGGGGTTTTATCTATTAAGTCAGAGATTGTTTAGAATCTCTGTTGGTGGAAGAAATTCACGTATCAGGAGTATCCTACACTGAGGAAATAATAGTCTCCATGTGTTGTACATTGATCTCTTTGCAGTTCCTTAAGAGAAACTTAATAACTACATTTCTCATACAATTATTAACAAGTGTGGCTTTCTGAGCACAAGGAACTTAATTTCTAAAAGTTGAAGTTCATGTCCCATACTTACTTTCGAGCAGCTCCACCTGCTGGTGTATAATGATCAGGTCTAACTGTTAAAGGATGACATAAAGGAGATACCAGGTTTACATTGTGCCTCATAGGAAAGTTGGAAATGTTATAGAAGCCGTCAATACAAATCACAGTGTACATGAAGATCATCTGTTTTACTGATTCCCTATTAAAGAATATTTGGGGAAAGAACTCATTTCTTATGAGTCAAAAAAAAAAAGAGGTTACGATTATTGTTGTACTCAAGTAACAACCTACAGGGTCGTGGAAGGATTATGTGCAAGAATTGCTAAGAATGATAACAACTTCAGTAAGCTATTAAATATGAGAATTAAGGAAAATAATTTCTGGATAATGCAAAAATAAAAAAAAAACCTAATTAACCTTTGGATTTAAAATGCATGGACATCTTATGTGTGATTGCTGATGTCTCAGATATTCTGAAAGTTCACAATGCCTCTAATAAAAACCATGAAGGCACATTGGAAAAGTATGATTGTCAGAGTTCTTTATTCTGCCACCCTTAGGTGAACTCCTGACTATACCCTGCTATTCATTGTTAGGAATCATCTCTCACAGATATGAAAGGACTAACTTAAAGCAAAGCTAGTCAATTTTTGTAAACTTTCTGGTGCATATCTTCCTTTAACTAGGGAAGCAATTGATTTAGGTTAAAGATGGTCCCTTCGCTCCAGCTGGTCCACAGTATGATTCTATTCATAGCAACAAAAAACTCAAACAGAGAAAGAAATAGCCATAGTGGAAAAAAGTGTTTGAGACAAATACTAGGAAACACCTGGGCTTGTAATATAACCTCCTCTACTTATCAGCTATGTGATCATGGGCAAATGATTGAATAACTGAGCTTATTCCTCAGCTCTTAAATGGGAATAGAAACACCCGTAGTACCTAGTTCACAGGGATTTTTTTTTAAGGATCCAATGAAATATTCCATTTGAACATGAAGTAGTAATAATAATTATTATTTTAATTATAATGACTGTTATTTAACTGGCACTTTAGGTTTGCAAAGCACCCATACACATTCTCTCATTGGATCTCATCTGTAAAACTAAAAGTCTCATACAAATATTATTGTTAGTCCGAGTAAGGATTTGCAGGCAAAGGGAATTACCAAGAACCTAACATGCAGTGAATTTGTGGATAATCTGTCTACCAGTAATAAAAAGCGGACTGCAGCAGATATGTCATGTGATACAAAGAGAATAAGCCTATGCAATTGAGGGCGTTTTTGACGTTTGGTGTCTGAAGATGTCCTGTAACAAGATCGTGCTTACTTTGTATGTGATGATATGTGATGATTTGATTTTTTTTTCATTTTTTTCTAAAGATTATAATCTCCAATTTATTCTCCTTTTTTCTTTTATTTTCAGCATTTCAAACATTAGCACAACTGAATAATAAAGAAAAGAATTTGCCAGGTAAAAGCTTGAGTTGGCATGTTTTATAAAAAAATAGCATTGACGTTTCAGCAATTCAACAGGCATTTTGTTGTTTCTGAAAAAAAAATAGTCTATCTATCCCTGGAGAAATAGATTCCTAAACTTATTAGACATAGGAAACTCAGCACACGTATTGACAAGAGCTGGCATTTGTTTGGTGCTTTGAGTCCAGGCTTGTAAAACATTCAAGAATTAAGTCTATTCATTCCCTAGGTATTCCCAACTATCTCAGGTAGGAAGATGAACAATCATGTTACTTCTATTTCTACTTTTTTAAAAACTGGATTTATGAGTTTACTGTTATAAGAAGCTGCCTGAAACATTAGGTGGAGAAATTTTCCATCCTATGAGTTCCACACACAGATAAATAAGAGTTCTAAATTCTCAAAATAAATAAAATAAATAAAAGATGCTCTAAATCAAATTCATCCATCTTCCTTAGCAAATTTATATAGTTTTTTTTCTCTTCCAAATTCTGCTATATTGTTTTTGGGCTAATAAGAATCAACTATTTCTTCCAGAATCAATAATTGCAACATTTTATTTGTTTAAAATTGGAGATGAGTTCCTTCACTGAATGCTTGGGGACATGTATCATTTCTTGGAAGGCACTGGGATAAATATATCAAAGTTGACTAGATTATTTTTTTTAATCAACTGGGAATTATTTATAAAGTTTAGATGGGGTTTGAATTGATCTTCAAACAAATATATATATATATATACATATATAATTTCAATGTTCCAAATGCTTATAGTTTTATTTACCACAGATTTCACACAGTTCTTAGTTAGATGGTAACTTCAAACATTGGATTTTATTTTAATCCACGTTTCAAGGGAGCTAGAAACATAATTTGTATTTAAATTATGGTAGCATATAAGAAGACTATAAAAATGGGCAAACCTCAGTATGTGTGTGTGTGTGTGTGTGCGTGTGTGTGTATAGAAAGAGGTAGGATGACAAAGAAGATATAGAACCAGTTTTGAAGTCAGAAAGACCTGGATTCAAGTACTGCCTTTGACAAAACTGGCTGTATGATTAGCTTCATGAGACACTTGGGTGGCACAGAGGGTAGAGTGCTGTATCTGTAGTCAGGAAGACTTGAGTTCAAATCCATTCTCAAATGCTTACTAGCTGTGACACCCTGGGCAAGCCATTTAACATCTGATTGCCTTAGTTTATTCACCTGCAAAGTGGGGATAATAATAGCTCTTACTTCACAGTTGTTGTGAAGATAAAATGAAGTAAAGTGCTTTGCAAACCTTAAAGCATTACTGTACAGAAATCATCACACCTCTCAGTTCCCCAGAGAACTCTCTACCACTATACAGGAGTTGTATAGTAATTGTTGATCTGAAATGATAGAGGGAGTTTCCTGTGAATTCCTTCTGTCTGTGAATTCATAGGTCTAAAATATACACATGCACAGACACACATTTAATAGATGTGATTTTATAAAGGTAAGGAGATCCTGAGAAGGAATTTCTTTGATAAATACAAATTAAAAGGCTACATGACTTAACCAGGGTCACATAACCAGTAATGGGAAGAAGTAAGACTTAAATGCAGTTATTTTAGTCCCTGAGAACACTGTTTCACATATGCCATGCCATGTGTATATATGTATGTATTTGTACATGTGTATGTATACACTTCCTGTATCTACATACTTACTAGCTGTGTCACCCTGGGTAAGTCACTTAACCCTGTTTGCCCCCATTCCTCATCTATAAAATGATCTAAAGAAGGAAATGCCAAAGCACTCTATTAATAATCTTTGCCAAGAAACTGCAAATGGGTTCATAAAGAGTCAGACATGACAGAAACAATGGAATAGCAATAAGACCATGTTTATATGTATATTTATGTATATACATGCACATGCATATATATATATATACACATATGTATGTACAATACACTATTCACACAAATATATATACGTATGCATATGTATATATACAAATAAATATATACCTATATGCCGCATATATGTATGCATATAGCACACATATAGCCCACATCTTATGTGTACTATATAGGTATATATGAATATATGCACATATACATGTGTGCATACATATATTATGTATATATACATACATTTAGTACATATATGATATACAGCCAATATACTATGTATCTGTATATATCGAAATCTACTCACACACATGTACACAAATGCAGGGTGTCCCAAAAGTCAGTGCAATTTGAAGGTACGAAAGATTAAAACTACACTAAGACTTTGAGGTAATCCTATATCCATATGTTGCGGACCTGTGAACTTATTGATGTAATGAGTTCACAATGAGGAAACTGGAAATTCCTTCCATCAATGCAGATTAGCAACTGTTCTACAACTTATTTATCATCTTAAGAGAGTTACTTAGCTAAATTAGAAGTTAAGTGACTTTCACAAGGCCACTTAACCAGTATATAGCAAAAATAAACCAAAGTGTGTATTTTCCTACGTATGGATACTTATATATACTCACTCCATGAAAGCAATAAAGGCAATCTTGCATAAAGTGAATAAAATACAGTCCTCCATGTGAATAAGCTGCTCGTTTATTTGAGGCAAAACTTCCATTTTTTGGAGAGATTTCGATAAGGAAAGCATTAAAGACATGTGTCTAGACAACTTATTCTGCTTTGACTGAGCTGCCTGGGCTTGCATCTGTCAGGCCAGGCTTTCTCTCTGTGTTGTATATAGTTTTAAAAGCCTCTGTGCATTGCCAAGAATTGGGTGTCTGATCATTCCTAGATGGAGGAAGATATGGGGTGACCATATGTGATTGTGCAATCCAGTCTGCTGGCACTGGCATTCCACCTCTACATTTGGCAAAGCCCTGTCTGACAATGTCCTCTAACAGCTTGAAGCAGTTCATCCACTCTAGTCAGCTATTACAGCTGATCCACTTTGCAGATGGAAGCTGGTAGGCTGGGTTCCCCAGCTCTTTTACATATCTCCACGTGCTATTCAGTCTCTGAAGTGCATTTGCCTGCCAGTGGGTTCCTGGATAACGCATCTGCAATTATAAACATTTTCCCAGGAACATATGCTGCTTCCTGGTTAAACCCTGTCAGGCATAACAGAAATCTCTTGTACCTTGAGGGAATTGAAACAGAGATTTGATTTTGATAAAGGAGATAGACTTTATGGTTTGAAAGAATGCCAAATCGTCTGGAAACTGTAGCAGATGTGCTGATAACTCAATGTTAGTGTTAACGTGAGTTCCTTGTAGACTCAGATGTAAGAACATCAAAAAAATGAGCCAAGATGTTGATGGCAGTTTAGGACCTAGGTTCAAATCCCACCTCAGACCCTACTTAGCTCATCTTTGCTAAGCCATTTGACCTCTTAAAGCCTCAGTTTCTACATCTATATCTACATGAGCAAAATATTTGGAGCATTATATCCATGTGGAGCCATTACTCAGAGGAGTGCCAGTGAAAATTAAGTAACTAAATAATATGAGACCTGGGTCACTGGATGCTCTCCAATGGCCAGTAGTGACTTGTCATCATCTATAATATGATGTTGTTGGAGCTTATGGCCTTCGATCTCTAGATCTATGCAACTGCCCCACCACCTTTGTCAAAATTATTAACACTAAGATTACTGCCATTACTATGAGCCTGTAAGAATAGTAGGTCCAGAAATATATGTTCACTCTAATAGCAAAAGAAACAATAGAAGAAACAATATTTATGTGCTTGCTATGTGCAAGGCACTGTCTTAGGCAACGAGGACATAGGAATGAAAATAAAATCATTCCTGCCCTAAAGAAGTTGAGGGATATCACATAGGATCATAGGAGTGAAGATTCAGAGCTAAAGGGAGCCTCAAAGGTCAAGTCCAATCTGCTCATTTTATGCATGAAAAAACTGAAGCTATTGGGGATTAATAATAATACCAGCATGGCCTTTTAACTTTTGTAAATATGATGTTATTTGATCCAGAGAAGTAGGTGATAGTCTTATCCCCATTTTACAGGTGAGGAAACTGAGACTGAGAGGTTAAATAATTTTCTCAGGATATGACAGCTAGAAAGCATATGAGGCAAGACTTGAGCCCAAGAGGTCCAACAGTGTCCTATCAATTATATCATGCTGTCTCTCAATGTACAAGTGTAAGTAAATACAGTATAGTGCAATGAAGAGGGAGAGAGCATATACAATTGGGGAAGGGATGGGTCAGGGAAGACTTGAGGGTGGAAGTGATGCTGAAGTGAGTCATGAAGGAAGGTAACGATTCAGTGGGGTATTGGAAATGGCTTCCACAAATGCAGGGAGGCAGGAGATGGGATGCTGAGTTTGGGAAATAGCTTTCATCCCACTTAGAATGCCTTTTCCATTCCTTTCCACTTACTCAATTTTGTCTATCTTTTGGGAGCCAACTCATATTTCACCGCTTTGGTGAAGCCTTCCCTAGTTAATCTAAGCCAGAACTGTGCATTGACCTAAACCAGATTAAAATGTGATTGGGAAATATTTAATAAAACCAATAAAAATGCAGTAGAACATAGATAACATTAATGTTTGGTTTTCTAAATCAATATGCAATCCTTATGTATGGTTTAATTGCACCCGTTTCTAATTGTGTTTGATGCCAGGATACTACACCATAGAATCTCTCCCTTCTCTGATCTCCATTAGTGTGTAATGTCTATTCCATTTATCTAGTACTTTTCTCTTTTTATGTCATCTCTCTTGTCTTCCAAACTAAATCGTAAAATTACTTGAAATCAGAGCCTGCTTTTCAAAAATGTTCATATTCCCTACATCACTTTGAGCTAATAGATACTGTATTTATTCTTGTTCACGTGAACCAGTTAATAACTGCAATAACTAATCAGCATGGAAGTCTAGGAGGCTTGACATTAGAGCTACAGTAGTCAGTGTCTCAATGGACTTACCATACCGTTGCTGTCCTGATAGGGAATATTTAAAAAAGCATGTTCTTACTGTAGATAAGCAGGTAGATTCACTCATTGTTGGTGGAGTTGCAAAATTGTAGGGATTGGGGTAGTTTTGTGTTTGTGTTTGGTTTTTGTTTGTTTTTGGTAGAGCAATCTGACAATCTATAATAAAAGTTATAAAAATCATCTTACCCTTTGAGACTATAATTCCATTGTTGGAAACATATTCTAAAAGTGTTATCATTACTATTAATTTGAAGCTAACTAGGGAAATAGTTATTGTCAAATAGCATTTTTTTTTTGTAATTAAAAACAAAACTGCAACCAATCTAAGTACCTGAGAATAAGGAAGTGGCTAGACAAATTGTTGTGAAGTCTTATAATGGCATAATGTAATAAAAATAAAACCAACTAATATGGGAGATACATTTTAAAAAGGGAAAGACCATCATATAACAATGCAAAGCAAAAATGATAAAAAGAAAAAGAGACCCAGAACAATAGAGTACACAGTAGGAGTAAACAGAGATAAAATACTAACTAAATATAATCAGATAATAGCAAAAAAAAGTGAATGGACAAAGAATTCTAATGGAAACTTATAATCATAAAAAGTTAAAAAAATCACGTGATATTTTTGTTGTAGAATTGAAATGAGTAGCAACTTGTACATAGCAGATTTGCGGTTTCATGTGCAATCACCTTTTTGTGGTAATGTATTATGTTTTTTGTTTTTTGGTTTGATTTGTTTTTGGCTAGGCAAGGGAGTTAAGTGACTTGCCTAGGGTCACATAGCTAGTGAGTGTGATGTGTGTGAGGCTGGATTTGAACTCAGGTCCTCCTGAGTCCAGGGCCGGTGCTCTATCCACTGTGCCACCTAGCTGCCCCCTGTTGTACTGTATTATGGAAATGCTTGCTTTATTCCATAAATTAAAAAATAAAATTTAATAATAAAGAGAAAAAAGCTGCACACAACAAAATGAAAAAAATTATGCCATTTTACATGTGAACATTAATTTGTTTATATTTAAATAGATGCAAAGTATGTTTATTTGTTTTTATATTTAAGACTGAGTCACTTATATAGCTTGGATTAATAACAATAGGTACTCAAATTCTTATCCCCTTCAAGACTTTTCTTACATTCTCATAATATTAATTCCCATAAAAGTCTAACTTTTAGTAATTTAAATACTTCTTCCCTTTATATGTTAACCAATAAAAACATAAATGATTTTATAAGTTACATGCATGGGACTGATATTGAATGTCTTCCACTGTAACTATTGGCCCAGTAACACCTGCATCTGTTTTCTTTTATATGTGGCTGAAAAACAGAGATTTCTATATGGTTCTGAGAAGAACAGATCATATAATTAACCCTTAATGGTAAATGAAATGATATTGATTTAATATCAGTGCATAAATATATTTTCACTGGCTAAACAAAATGAACCAGAAATAAATGTAAAATAGCAAATAAGCTTGATATGAATTATACTTTCCAAATTAATATCGTGTAGTGAAAGCAATAGTACAACTCAGGATTAGACCACAAAATTGTATAATTTTTATATTCCTTTTTTCATCAATAGGGAAGAATTAAAGAAAACACAAAAATCTTTACATCATTTTATAATCTGAAACTTATTTTTAATAGAATTCAAAAAAATTAGTGGAAAACCAAGTTAGCTACTGAATCCTTTTTCAACGTCTTAAGCATAAATTCATTTTGGGGAGGTGGGGGCTGGGGAAGTGGAGATCGTAGAAAGAGAAAAATAAAGACACCTGGCTCAAGCGTTCTAGACCAGGAGGGAGATTGACTGGTGGTGGGAGAGGTGGTAGTAATACTTGCTTCCTTGAATTCGAAGGCACAGTGGAACGACCATGATCAGGGTCAGGATAGCCTGGGAGAAAACCGGGAAAGCCTCGACTTTTCCGATACTGACCATCTGCAAGAGAATGGAAACCATATATACTTTTTAACAGTTGGGACACTGTTTTTGTTTTGAGGTGGGAGAATTCACTTGTTCTTTGTTCTAGTTTTAATTGAAGACTTAATGTGCCTGTCTTATCAATCTATAAAAGAAGTCTCAGCTGTCTGTCCATCATTCTCCCAGTTTATTAGGACTTCTATCAGGTATCCACTGAGCACCATAAAGGAGATGAGGCCTGAATTAGTTAACTATATTCTCCTTTCTAGTAATTCGGTAAAAGGTAACTCACATGGTTACATTACGTTAAGAAGGTCCTCTTGAAAGTCAAGAGTGACTGGAACATTCATTGCATGAAGAGGTATAGACAACGGTGGAGATTAAATGGTAGAAGTCTTTGGATTCCCAGAATCCCTAATGTATTCTACTTAGTTGCTGTGGACCAGAAGTCTCTCAGTATTCTATCCATGCTCTTGGACCCTTCCAATTTAAGGAACCATTTTCTTTCATTCCTTTAAGCCTTTTACCTTCTACAGCACTGGCAAATTTAATTTCTCTATCACTCTACAAACATATCCTCTTGGAATTTACACATAAAATTTAAAATTTGTATAGTGGCATATAAATGACAAAGTGCTTTCACATGTATTATCTTCTCTGTGTCATCAGTGACCTTGTGAGGTAGACCAGACAGCCCTGACTCATACCTCTCTCTGGACACCTCCTCTTTCTCCCTGTCTTCTGTATTCCCATACTGGAGAACTCTACCATGAAAGGTCCTGCTCTTCTTATTGGTGACTCTCTCCCAGAATTGCCATTTTAGAAAGGTATGCTTCACCTTCCTTCTGTATTCCTCCTTCTCTTCATCTGCCACATTGCCTGCTTCCTCCCCTATACCCTCCTACTTTCTACTTCCGCCTTATGTATTGTCTCTCTCCATTAGACCTAAGCTCCTTGAATGTAGAGAGTCTTGCTTTTTTAAAATATGTATCCCTAGTGCTTAACGCCATGTCTGTCCCATAGTAAACATTCAATAAATAAATATTTATGTAGCTATCAATTATATTGTTAATTATTGTATAAAATTGTTGTTGTCTTCAACCATTTGAAGGACTGCCATGCGCAAAAAAAATTAAACTCTTCTTCACCATAGCAAGTTTTCACAGCAATAGCAAATGAAATGAGAATTATTTGCCAAATAGGAAGAACCAAAACTAATATTGGTATCCCTGTGTACATGGTGGAAAATGCATTAATTACTGATGATAGCAGCATAGAGGGGGAATCTAGGTGGCACAATGGATAGAGCACCGGGTTTGTAGTCAGGAATATCTGAACTGAATAACCAAAGAAGTAGTAATCTTTCCATGCTCTTTCCACTCTACACATTTCTGTACCAATTTCATGAAAGAAAATTCTGTCAGAATCTACAATGCAATGAATATTTGAGATTGGAAGTTTCAAGAAAGGTAGGCTCAGCTGTCCAATACCAGTACATACCACAGAGCCAAATTCAGCCAGGAAGAGCTATGGGCAGAGTTAGGCTTTTGGTTAGGAGAAAACAAAACAAAACAAAATGAAATCCAGCTTCCTAATAATTGGAGCTTCCCAAAAGGGGAACAGGCTGCCTCAGCAGATGTTTTCCCTATGTTGAAACTGTTCAAGCAAAGAGTGGATAACCATTTGTTGAGAATGTCTTTTTGATGTATTAGTTGGCCTAAGTGGGTCACAGGTATCCTCCAGCTCTGAAATTCCATGATCCTAATTTTCTAGATGAGGAAACTGAGGCATAGAAATTTTAATTGGCTTGTCCATTGTCATTAACAGGCAGTAGAGAAGGCAAAATGCAGGATTAGAATATCACTCCTGGCTCATGGACCAGGTACAAAAATAACTGACATTTATATAAGACTTTAAAATTTGCAAAACACTTTACATAGATTGTAGATTTATATAGATTTAGATTTAGAAATGAAAAGGATTGTAGAGGTCATCTAGACCAACCCCCTTAATTTACAGATGAGAAAACTGTGGCTCAGAGAGGCAATGGACTTGGTCATTGCACACTAGTAGCAAACACCAAAGGCAGTACTTGAACTCAGGTCTTCCGACTTATACCCAGCCTTCTGTCAACTCTTCTGTGTGTAATATACTATGAAATAACTTTGCGAGGTAGGTACTAAAGATATTATATCCCTGTTTAATAAATGAAGAAACATGCTAAGAGGTTGTTTCTTAAAAGGCAAGATTTGAACCTCGATCTACCTAATTTAAAGTCCAGCCCTTTATCCATATAGGCAAATGATCATATAAAGACTTTGACATCCTTCCAAGTTCTTTGAAGGCAGATATCCTTGTCTCCATATTCTGAGCATCTGGAATGCTATGCATGTGTAACAGGTGTTTCTTCTAAACTAATTTCATCCTATATGTACTTATTTAATTATATGATGTCTTCCCCATTAGCATGTAAACTCTTTGGAGGAATGGACTGTTTTGTGTTTTTACCTTTCTTTGTTTTCCTAGCAGCTAGTAGGTCTGGGGAGATAGTGACCAATTAATACTTGTTAATTGATTTCTTAATAAAGATTTACTGAATGGTAGAGGGATGTAACCATTTTTATATACCACTTTAATTAGAATGGAATTCTATTTTTAAAATAATCCCTCAGACAGAACGTTATAGCTTCAGAATCTATTCAGCAGACCTGCAAAATCAAGTTGGAAAGTCCATTGCACTGTTTAAAGGGTCATCAGAGGTAACTTTGTCTTAATGGAAACAAGTTTTATCTTCTTAGTTATAAAATTTCAACTTTAGGGGACGTTCGGGTTTGACAAAGGTCTAACCTCTATTTAAGACTGTAGGGTGACTGAGTAATGAGTTATGAACTTCATAAAGGTTGATCCATTTAAAAAAACAAATTTCATAACTAGTCCATTGTCATCTTCATTTTTTTCAAAGTTTTTCCAGGTTATTTCAATTTAGATGCCTCCATTGTTTTTTTTTAAAGATTAATTGCATTTTGATTTATGTTTAACATGTATCAGTTCTTAAAGCAAGAAACCTGAGTATTCAGGCATTCTTCTATTTTGCATTTCCTTACTTCTTTAATATTTTGCCATTTTAGTTGTTATGTGTCAAGTGCATGCACACACGTGTGTGTGTGTGTGTGTGTGTGTGTGTGTGTAAGAGGGAGAGAAAGAGAGAAAGAGAGGAGGGGAAGGGGAGGCAAGAGATAGGAGAGGAGAGAATGGAAGGGAAGAGGACAGAAAGGAAGAGAAGAGAAGAGAAGAGAAGAGAAGAGAAGAGAAGAGAAGAGAAGAGAAGAGAAGAGAAGAGAAGAGAAGAGAAGACAAGACAAGACAAGAGAAGACAAGAGAAGACAAGAGAAGACAAGAGAAGACAAAAAGGAGATGAGAAGATTGTAGGACAGAATAGAGGGTTAAAATGGATTATTATCAGGGAGCTAACAGATGTACAAAAGTCAGTTCACTTCCCCACTTTTGTATCAATCCATTAGCAATTCTGTTCTGGTCCATAGTATCACTTAGTTATTCCTAGTCTAGGCAAGACTCAGTTGATCTGGAACTAGGATTAAATTTTGGAAGCACCTTAAATTCTGTGCTGAACCTGAAACAAAGGTGCTTTTTCTATCAACAATGTAGGTTTCAATATGGACAGTGCTATCTATGCTGGTTCAGCTCACCAGGGGACAATTATTTCTACGATCTATTTAGGGCTTGGTCTCTCCCCAGAAAGGAGGCAGATGCCAAAAAGGTTACTTGTGGAATATTATAATATGAGTTGGATGAGTTTCAGAGTCTAGCAAACCCAATGTAATGAGCAATACATCAGTGAAAAACAATGAATAACTAGCTGCATTGGCCCCTGGAAAACTCTGAAACTGTTACTCTCCTTGTGGAAACCAACCATTTGTTTCTCTGTCTAAAGGGTCTTTAAACATCCATTACTTTGGGTATGTGGTTTGCTAGTAGTTATGACTATTACAACTTTTGGATATCTGTTGCAGGCATTTGTGACCATCCCTGCAGTGCTAGCGTACTATCTTAGAAGGATAGTCATAGGAAAGCTTCAATAGTGTCAGCACACTCAAGGATACTACTTACCAGTATTTTGCTGCCTAATTTAGCCTCTCTCTCTTTCTTTGATTCTCTGTCTCCATATCTCTCTATCTCTGTGTGCATATGTGCATGTGTGTGTGTGCATGTGTGTGTGTATGCATGTGTGTGTGTATGTGTGTGTGTGTGTGTGTGTGTGTGTAGGGGTAGGGTTTAAAAATGTCACCACCAGGAGTGGAAGAAGGGCATTTAAAACATTATTAACTAGCATCACTTCTGTGCCCTTACTGGTTCATCATTCATCTCCTCAAACATAGCTCTGTCTTGGGCCTTCTCTTTCCACATTCTCCCTTGAAAATCCCCCCTGCTCTCATTGGGTCAATCAGTTATCACCTCTTCACTGAGAACATATATCCAGCCCAACCTTCCCCCTGAACTCCAGTCTCGTGTCTCCAAATGTCAGTTGAACATCACCTAGATGGATGACAAGAACATCAAACTGAAAAGCTTGGTGGCCCAGTATGTCATACAGTGATGGACTCAGGGGCAGGTACACCTGAGTTCAAATCTGACCTTAGATACTTACTAGCTGTGTAACCTTGGGCAAGTCATCTAACCTCTCCTAGCTTGTTTCCTCATCTGTAAAATGGAAATAATAGCATCTACCCTCCAGGATTTTTAGGAGAAACAAATGAAATAACAAATTGAAGTACTTTGTAAACCTTAAGGTACTATAGAGATATTGTTATTGTTAGCATATCCAATACTGACCTCACCTCTCCCCAGCAAAAACAACAAAAAACCTGGTACATTTTCCAAATTTTCCTTTTTCTGTGGACATTATTACTCTCTTCTCAGTCACTCGTCTTCAAAGCCTGCCGTCTTTCATTCTTCCCCCTCTCCCTCACTACCTACCCTCTCCAATCTGTTTCTATCTCTACAATAGCTTTCTGATCTGTCCCCTTCTCTCTACCCACAATGCTACTACCCTGGTTCATGCTCTTGTGATTTCTCAACTACACTATTGTAATAGTCTTTAACTGATTTGCCTACCTCCAGTCTTCCCTGCAATTTTTCCTTCACCTCGATGCCAACGCCATCTTTGTAAAACTCAGGTCTGAACAGATCCTGCTCCAAAGGCATCAGTATCTTCCTTTCGTCAGTAAGTTAAAATCGATTGTGGCATCAGATCCTATTTACCCTGGCATTTGCCCCCCGCCCCCAATGTGGCTCCAACCTGCCTTTGCAACCTTATTTTATCACATTGTTCTCTTTCATGTATGCCATGTTTCAGACAAGCTTCTGGACACAAGCTGTTCTGCATCCTCTTTGGACTTATGTAGATTCCTTTCAATTCTTGGAATTCGCTCTTCCCCTATCTCAGCCTTTCAGAACTATCAAAGCTCAGATCCTTTTATTACCAGCTCCATGAACTCTTTCTTGATCCATCAATCTCTTCTATTTCCTAGATGGGTTTACTATGGACCTCTCCTTGCCCCATTACTCCCTAGTCTGTGCTATATCCATAGTCACCAGAAGCCTTGTGGGTATTAGCCATTTGTCTGTTTTTCTCAGGATCCTTGGGCCAGCTGGTTATCATTCACCCATTGGCTCTGACACCAGCAGAAGGTTTAGCTGAATTCTGATGTGAGTCTAGTGGTGTATGCATGTATATCAATCAAATCATTGGTTTCTCTTATAATTTTCAACTAAATGGCTCTGTACAAAGGAGCACTATTTTAACAAGCAGTTTAATTGGATTAGAGTAAAAGGTAATAAAATGGGGGAAAATTCCTCAAATGTAACATGAACTGTATAGTCCATTTGATACCAAGTCCAACCCACTAGACAGCAAAAAGCCCACTTGGATCAGCATCCATTTTCCTCTG